TCTCCTAATTATCTTGTTTACTATTTCAAAGGCCAAAATAAAAGTAATGGTGAAAAAAACTATTCTGGGTTCACCCAATCCTTTTTGACATTTGAAATTCTTAATGGTCCACATAAATGGGTGCATGGCAGGAGCAAGGCAATTGCCTATATATAACTGGGGGCCTGGCAGGGCTGTGTCCATCTCCTAAATACATTGTGCTGCAAGATGTCCCTCTTTCTCATCTCAGAAAGTTAGGAGGTATGCTCCCCTGGTTGGGCATTCAAATTTCAAGGATCCTTCATGGACTGATGGTAAAATCTTTCTTCCGTATTCCGTAATGATGTTCCCTACTCTGTACTGGCCTTGGGACAGAGAGCTAATTAGACAAATCTTTATACTGATCTTACATACATTGTGTACAGTTAAAGTTTGTAGTCACCTGACCACCACCACCTAATCCTAGCATCTTACAAAACTATAGCCATTAATACTGAGTTGTCCCCCCACCTCCTCCATGGCCATTAATATGGAGCTGTCCCCCCACCTCCTCCATGGCCATTAATATGGAGTTGTCCCCCCACCTCCTCCTTGGCCTTTACTATGGAGTTGTCCCCCCCCCACAGTCTGGTGTGAAGGCACTCAAGTGGCCTTCACAGAGCCCTGACCCCAACCCTACTGAACACCTTTGGGATGAATTGGATTGCTAATTCTGAGCAAGGTCTTCTCATCCAACATCAGTACCTGACCCCACAAATGCCCCAAAATTCCCATAGACACCTTCCCAAATCTTATGGAAACCCTTCCCAGAAGAGTGGAGCTGGTCAAACCATGTCTATATGGAGCCAGCTTTGTACACAGGGGACAGTCATAGTGGAACAGAAGAGGACCTTCACCAAACTGTTACCAGAAGGCTGGAAGAGGACAATTGTCTACAATGTCTTTGTATGCTGTTGAAATAACAGTATACTTCAGGGGAAACATCTGAACTTGATCATCTAGAGGTTGGTCCACATACATTCGGACATATAGTGTCAGATCTCCCATCACATTTCACAGCAGAAGATGCAGGACCGGTCCAGTCCCGTACCCATCCCTTGGCATCCATACTAACAAAAGGTTCTGATCCCCCCATCAGAGCTACTTAGTCATTGTAGCCGATAAGACAAATGTCACTGGACTGGCTGATGTACCACACAGGTCCTCTTTAAGCTGACTATAACTGGAAAGCTCTGACCGAGAACATCGATAGTGATCAGAATTTTTAGTGCAAAGTGCCAGAAGCTAAATACAAATCTGTTTTCATTCCTTTGTCTTGAAGATGTTTCTCTGGAATTTTGGCAGACTGCCGCTTGTGGTAACTTCTGCAGAGCTCCAGAGAGAGGAGGGTGTGAGATTCACGCCTGGATAAGTGCGGGGAGGGTGACGACACCAGTGACGAAAGTGTCTCTCTTCTCAAGGTGATTTATGGTTGTTGATCCGACTGCCTAACCTCTCCAATGGCAAAGACATTCTCCACCCAGATGTAATATTTGTACACCTGCTGTGCCCATTATAAGGGGTTACCACCATCCCTGTGCTGAGTTCCCGGGTCTGTACACTTGCTGTGCCCATTATGAGGGGCTCCCTCCATCCCTGTGCTTAGTTCCCGGGTCTGTACACCTGATGTGCCCATTATGAGGGGTTCCCACCATCCCTGTGCTGAGTTCCCGGGTTTGTACACCTGCTGTGCCCATTATGAGGAGTTTCCACCATCCCTGTGCTGAGTTCCCGGGTCTATACACCTGCTGGTCTTATTATGAGGGGCTCCCACCATCCCTGTGCTGAGTTCCCGGGTCTGTACACCCGCTGTGCCCATTATGAGGAGTTCCCACCATCCCTGTGCTGAGTTCCCGGGTCTGTACACCCGCTGTGCCCATTATGAGGAGTTCCCACCATCCCTGTGCTGAGTTCCCGGGTCTGTACACCCGCTGTGCCCATTATGAGGAGTTCCCACCATCCCTGTGCTGAGTTCCCGGGTCTGTACACCCGCTGTGCCCATTATGAGGAGTTCCCACCATCCCTGTGCTGAGTTCCCGGGTCTGTACACCCGCTGTGCCCATTATGAGGAGTTCCCACCATCCCTGTGCTGAGTTCCCGGGTCTGTACACCCGCTGTGCCCATTATGAGGAGTTCCCACCATCCCTGTGCTGAGTTCCCGGGTCTGTACCCCCGCTGTGCCCATTATGAGGAGCTCCCACCATCCCTGTGCTGAGTTCCCGGCTCCGCCCACCTGCTGTGCCCATTGTGAGGGGTAATAAAAGAATATCAGACAACCATGTACAAATTCAAGTTGATTTTTATTACCGAGTCTGCACGCTGTGCACAAAGGAAAACGCTCGCGGATCAGATATAAAATCTCCCAATATACAAAGAATTCTCATTCTGCAGATGAAACAAAATCAGCGTCTCCAAACACCCAGCTGGCGAGCAGAACCGCGTACAAATTCCGATAGGGACGTCAGCGTTATTCCTGAGGCGCCAGGACTACCCCCTGTGTGATGTCACCAAGGTCCTGACATCAGTCTGTTTATAGAATATAATTATATATAGTGTTTTTCATATATGCATATATATATATATTTCCCCTCCCCCCCAATACATTTATATATAGAAGGTTGTTCTGTAAAAGTTGTAGAGAGGAAACGGCTTAAAGTGGACCTGTCACGCCAGGCAACATGCACTGCGAGTTGAATGCTGGACCTTTAATACTGCGTAAAGGGGGTGGGGGGCCCTCAGCACACAATTCCTGCTCATGAACATCGCATGTGCCTCAATACTGGACAATGACAATCTGGTAGTGCATTATGGGAGGTTGGGGTTGAGGATTTTGTGCCAGAGCTCCGAGTCACAGCCATGCTAACGATGACAGACGTGTACCTGCGGGTTTTAGGGGTTATTTTCGTACACCGAGGCGCGTTACGGCGCTTTTGATGGGTTGTCAGCGCACAGAATATTCCCATCTGTAGGCTGTGGTGCTCTATAGCTCAGGTGCATTTATTTCCTTTACTCTATATGTGCATTGGGCTGCCATTTTCAATGCATATACACGTGCAATACGGCAAAGAACCATTGTGAATGTGCCCCTAGGGGCACTCCATAGGTTACCATTGTGAATGTGCCCCTAGGGGCACTCCATAGGCAACCATTGTGAATGTGCCCCTAGGGGCTCTCCATAGGCAACCATTGTGAATGTGCCCCTAGGGGCTCTCCATAGGCAACCATTGTGAATGTGCCCCTAGGGGCTCTCCATAGGCAACCATTGTGAATGTGCCCCTAGGG